GGGGGGGGTTGGAGCGGAGGGTCTGAAGGCACGTGTGCTTGCGGGGGGTACCGCAGAGCTGCCCGCACCCCTCGGTGCCCCCAGCCACGCAGACAGAAGGAATGGGGATGGTGAGGACCAGCCCAGAGTGTGGTTCCCCACAGCAGCCCTCCTGCTGTGGCCTCCTCCTTCAGCCTTCGAGTTTTGGGGCAAGTTTAATGCAGCTTTCTGAGCTCTGTTTTCTCAGCTGCAAACCTGGTGTGGCTTTAGCCTTTCAGGACTGCTTTAGGCCTAGTTTTATTTTACGTGTTTTGAGGTCCTCAGGCTGCTTTTAACAGCACAGTAAATGCCTTTTCTTTTTTTTCCTAAAGAAAAAAAAAAGGCAAGCAAGCATACCATAGAAGCTAAAAATAAGAGATAATAGATTTTATCTAACTACAACTTTGTGCGTTGCATAGAAAAGGCTTCCAACAGGACGTAAGGATGAAGCGGTTCATGGCCATGCTAAACAGGAATAAAACCAAGGATCCCCCACCCGCCAAGCTGCTGGATTTAGCAGGACAGCTTTGCCGCGACCTCCAGAGCTCCTTTCCTATTCTGGAGAAGCTGGTTGGGGCCATGATGGGATGCAAACACAAGATGTATTTTCTCACTAACATCCATGTTGTCCGAGCTTGCGTGTTTGTTCATATCCGTAACGGGCAGCATGACACAGCCTGCAGACTCCTGGAGGTAGGGATGTGTTCTTCGTTTCTTCATGGAGACAAAAAGCAGTATTAGAAAACTAGTACTTAGAGCCGTTAGTGCAGAGGTACCTAAACTGCAGCGCGTGGAGCATTTCCAGCTGGCGTCTGGCAGTGGAAGGTGCTATGTGTGCGTTGGTTGATCTGAAACACAGGATAAAAGCCTTTGCTACAGGCAGTTACTATTAATCAGCCAAGGGGAAGAAGGTAACTGGGCGATTACAGGGTTGGTTGTAGTTTGCGAAAGCAGGATTTTGTTCTCTAGTGTGGTGGTTCTTGGGAGTTTTTCACATACTTAGAGCTCAAGACATAAAAGCCTTGGGGAGGCCAAGTTTAGAGGGCTTTCCAGGATGGGAAGATACGAAGAAAACTGGATGGCACCACTCTAGGTGAGAGATTTTTGGTCTCTAGATCTGGAAACAGCCCTTTTCCCCAAGGAACAGAAGGAATTAGGCAGGCGACTCCCTGTGTACGTTAGAGAAGGTACAGCGAGTTGTATACCTGGATAATGCTACTAGCTTTGACAAACCAGTAGGAATTTCTGAGTAAGTTTCTAGTTGTTGAGGGTGTTCTTTATAGGAGGCCGGGCTACCTGGAAAGAGTTTGCTTACACACTGTTTTGTTTTAGTGTTGCAAGGCAGAAGAGAAGGAGGAGCTGGTGCAACTTTGGCATGAGATTCATTACCGGAGGGTTATGGAGAAACACCACTCGGATTTTCTGACACCACTGCAGAAATTCCGTTGCAGGAAGAGGTACCGTGGTGTGGGGAACCAAAATTTTTCTCTCTGCTGTAGTTGGCAGATGCAGGGCTAGAGATGCAGTTTTACATCTCAAGATGGCTGCTTCTTGGAGCTAGGTTTTCTTGGCATTTTGACCACTTGTGGCAACGTGAGAAAATTCCCATGAATGCGAGTGACTCTTTTTGGATCCTTTTTAATCCTATTTTCTCCTGTGTACAGGAATCCTCCACCTGTTTCCCTTTGTCCTGAAGGTTTGAAGAATCGAAACTATTCTGATGAAGTACGCCAGCAGCTACACAGGTTTGCCACAGAGGTGACAACAAATCCAACCAAGAAACAGCGGGTAGGGATATGCTACTTCCAATCAAGTCTCCTTGTCACAGAAAAGCAGAACTCTTCCATCAGAGGTCTATAACTCTTTTCATTCTAAATAATTTTTTTTCTGAAGCCCCAGTGGGGATGGGATTCCCCATATTTTATCTTT